TAGTATATTATATCATTGCCCCTATCTCCTCCCTCCAATTCTTCCCATACCCCTACTGCTCAAATTCATTGCTTCTTATTCTTTAATTATTATTTTTCTTATTTATATATTTATAAATGCAACTTATTGATTTTATTTTGTGCCCCTCATAGTATATGTGTTTAGGTCTGACCACTTAGGACTGGATCACCCTGAAGCAGATTGATTCTTCAGTTCTCAGTGGTGATAAATGTCTGTAGTTGTTGGTGGGTTGGGACCTTGCAAGAGTTCTCCCATCCAGCTTGGCATAATTGCTTTCTTTCACTTCCTTAACCATGTGTTTTCAACCTTCTCTAGTCTGACTGTCCTAAGAGTATCAGGAGAGAATTTTAAAATTGTAAATACCTAGTATTTTGTGTCCAATTCATTTTTGAACTATTAATTCAAAGCCTGTAATGATAGGATGTATGAATCCTCATATTTAAATATTCCACAATTAATACTAAAGTGTAACTACTATCAAAACATATTTGTCCAAAGAAGAAAAAAACATGGCTTCTATTTTATACTGCATGCTCTGGCTTGCTTAATCTTCATTATTAGCTAAAAAGTATTACCTTAGTTTAGTAGAATGATAAACTGGATACAGAAGACCTAAAAGCAAAATAAAAATTAGTTCAAGCCAAACATTTAGCAAACTAGCAGGAGACCTTAAGGCCAGGGCAAGACACCAATGACTGGCCTCTCCTAATGTTGTCGTGTGTTTTGCTAACCCTGCTATCTATAGTGCTGTAACTTACTTTATTTGCAATTATCGTTATATATTTATAGGCTTATGTACAGTGAAAGAATAGTTAGAAAATATATATTTACAGAAAAGCTACTATCTTGTGATACAGACAAAAGGATTTGTGAACAACAAGTGGTTCTCACTGATTAGGATTTTTCTTCAAAACTTTAATAAATATATTTGTATAAAATGACCTTTATGAGCATAAACATATTCTAGAGAGGAACCTGTAACACAAAAAAATAGTCTGGAGACAAATATTGGGGTTCAAGCTTCAAGCTGAAGATCAGAGAAGCAAAGCAGCTAAGCCAGTAGTTCCTACCTCTAAGGAGGCTGAAGCAATCCTGCCCTCAACATTGCTGGAGACTAATTGCCCAAAAGTGGCTGGAGAATAAATGCTTCAGACTAAATATCTGTTCCCATCTTATGTACATCTCTAGAGCTGGAATTAAAGGTGTGGGATCCCAAGTGCTGAGATCTCTTTTGTGTGAGCTGTTTCTCTTCTACAATGATTCAATCTTGTATAACCCTAGGTGGCCTTGGACTCCTGAGTCCTGGGATTAAAGGTGTGTGCCACCACTGCCCTACATCTATAGTTAACTAGTATGGATGGCTTTGCATTTTGATCCTTCAGGCAATCTTTATTAAATCATAAATAATATAGCACCACAGGAACCCGTGGGAAGGTCTCTGAAAACTGACAGTCAACACTTCTGATTCTCTAAACTCAATGCACTCACTGTCTTCCACAGAAAAGTTGGTAATATAAGTGTATTAAAGTGTTTCCAATTCCTTCTGATTGTTGTCAACAGACAAAGGACCATACCCTGTGAGTGTGCATGAGACATGGAAGCAACTTAGGTTGGAGATTTTAACTGCTCAAAGCCCAGTTTGATTCTTGTAACCCACGTAAAGTTGGAATGAAAGTACTGGCTCTACAGCGTTGTGCTCTCACATATGTGTTATGACATATGTTCATGCACGCGTGCGCACGCACGCATACACACACACACACACACACACTGAGAAACACTTGTATCATAGAACTAGTTGTTCTATGGAACAGATTTTTTTTCAATCATTTTCTTCTGGCACCCTATATTTTCCTAGTGTGTAAATGTATCAGACCTAGTGTTGCATGGAAAATAGTTTTAAAATGCTGTCTCCTAAAATCTTTTAAAATATTGTGCCTTTTGAAGTCAGGTTTCTGAAATAGGTGACAATGGATCCACTTCATTAAAATGGCTCTGGAAGATATCTCCAAGAAGCTGCTCTTTGAGTGGGCCTTTGAAAGAGAAGTTTGCTCTAGAAAGAGGCAAGAGCAAATGTCAAATGACCCAGCAATAAATGCCATGTGTTTTGTAAACAATGAAGCAAGAAAGGAAAGGGGGAAGGAAAGGGAGGAACAGAAGGGTGATCTAGAATAGAACAGGCAAGGATAAGTTATACTAAAATATACATAGTCTGTGTAGGAGTTCCTAACCATTTTGGAGTTCCTGGGTTTAAAAAGAATGATACACTATTTGATTTGGTTTTGAAATAGATCATTTTTTTTCTTAATGATTAAAGGCAAGAAAGATCAGAAATAGGAAGATAAATTGATCATGTTGGGAATATTTATCAGAGAGGTTCAGATGAAATAGGATGATGGTTTTTATTTAATAGATAAAAAATTGGAGAGTAGAATTCAGACATGTTTGATAAGATCGGCCTGAGTAATGGGCTAATAAGTCACATGACTGAAAGAATTAAGAAGAGTAAAAATTCTTTCCAGATTTTCTGAATGATATTGGGTAATTGGATCATTTACTGAGACGAAAAATACACTGGAATTAGTTTCATGCAAGGAAATGTAAATTTAGGATAGTGTTAATGGTAGTTATATGATATGCAAACAAGCGTAAAAGGAGGCAGCCGGGCATGTGTGCAAGTCACTTAAGATCATCTTTTTAGTACTGAATTTTATGCCACTCTGGCATTCAAACATGAGAGATAGTAGTAAGAGCCAATAGTGGAAAATAAAGGGAAAATGGCAGGCCAACTTTAAGTAATCTTGAAAAACATAATTTCAGTGTAACAGCTTGTATGAAACCCTTGATTCTGGATACTTGAATGGAGTAGCATGGAGTTTTCTGAAGATAGCTAAAAAACATATTACTGGGAATAGAGGGCCAAGAAGATTTCCTGAGACACAATTGCTTAGTGATGACATCAGGCCATAGACCTGATGTACACAGTGTCACAAAGGCATGTGGGGTCAAGGACATACCTACCTCCAGTGTCTGGGAGAACGCTGAAAAACAAAAAATAGAAATTTTTATATTTCTGAAGAGAACATCATTTAAATTTGCTCTTAGTATAACACTAAAGTAAATCTAGATTTACCACCAAATGTACAGAAACTTTATAATGTAATTAATAAACATTTACTTTCTCTAAAATGTAGATTATAATAAATAAGACAGATGAAATGGGACTGAGCTAACTATCAACTCTACCAAGTTCAGCTTTCTGGTAATAAAACTCCACTATTTATAAAAGTTAAGGAAGGCTGTCCACAGGGCTTCAGTTGCCAAGAAACCTTTGGTAATACTGATCTTTCTTGCTGATACTCAGTGCCCTGCCATGAAGCAATATTTAAGTAGTATTATGACAAAAAGATAAATTTTCCTAGGATCCTATCTAATATTTATGTCACTAACCTTTTAGATTTTGTTCATGTGTACCATGGGAATTAAACTTGCCAAATAAAATATTTTCTATTTTTTCTAGCCATTTAGTAATTGTCTTAGTTCCTTACATAAAAGATTGCATGATTTGTCAGAATAATAATTTTTTCTTGTGCAACAATGAGTTAAATTGTGATATCAAACCAAAGCAAGCATCTCTATGAATAGAATTTCTGGAGGGAAACTCATATTGTTTGAATAATTAATCAGCATATAAACATATGTGTGTACATATACATATATATTTGCAGAATCCATGATAATACCTAAAAATACCATAAAATTTGAAAAAGAATCATGTGTTCTTCATATCTTATGTATTAGATATAATTGCATTATCACTTATTTTATCAAACGTCTGTATTGCAAGTTGATCAAAATTCATTCTTCCCTTCATGACCATTAGTATAAATGGAATTTGCTTCATAAACTCAAAAATGCCCAAATTACCACATCTGTTAAATTTGTATTCTGACAGAGTATATTTTTCAATTCCTAAAACCTGGAAATGAAAAATAGCATGAACTATAAATGTTTTAAATGAATTAGAGTTTTGGGTTCCTGAAAATAAGTTTCTAATGGCAAATCATTACTTCCATTTTTTTTTCTTATTTGGGCTTCTTCCTGATCCACCCAGAAATTTCTGTTACTGAATTTTCCATGTACTCCGTAATGTGAGCTTATAAGCCCGGCAATAGGCTACATGGAGCGACGATTGGCTGTCATACCTTGGATGTTTGTTTTGTGTGGTTAGTCAGCTGTAATAGATCCATTAATTAACCATCAGGACTTATCTTCTTAAAGGGTAAAATTCAATGAAAATAATATACATCACAGGAAAATAGTTACTGATCTGGACACAAAGAAGCATGGCTTTTAGAGTAGTGAGGCAAACAGCATCTAAAAGGACTGAATTTCTCAGAGATGCCCAAGGCTACGTCCCAAGGGAAGCTAGCAGTAGTTCTTCAGGAAGGTAAAAGCTAGTTTCAATGATAGAAAGTGAAGGTCTTCAAACTGGTGAGAGTGCAGAGCAGATAGGACAGTGGGACTAAAGCAGCCAGGTTTCAGGTCTGAGCAGAGGGGCACCCGCATATATAAAGACTTTCCTCTGTAGGAAGTCATTTATGAGTGGTTCTTGGGAAAATGTGGTATCTTTAAAATACACTGAAATAATCACTCATGTCAATAAGGAACCTTCTCCTATATCCAAATGGGAAACCTAAAATCACTGTCTTCTGTCTCTCCTCCATGCGCAAGGCTCAGTAATATGGGATCTCTTTTTTTTCTGATTTCCTTAATGAAATTGCCTGGTTAAGCATGGCAAGGACATGCTACAAGTCTTAGCATTCCCACTTTCATATAAATCATTGAATTTATGAAAATGGTGTCGTATAACTGGATTGCTATCATTTAATATAAAAGGAAAGAAATTATAATGATTTGATAAAGCCAAAGTATAAGCTTTAACTATTCAACTGTCAATTTTTATTATTTTCTTTCAGATTATCCAACTCCAAATGTCAAAGACATTTCCTCATATAAAGGGAAGCATTCAAAGGAAATTACTCTGACTGGGTTCGAGTCTCCCTTCAATGGTCAGTTAAAAATTCTCTAAAAATCCAAAGAATTAAAAAATATTTTTATTTTGTTTTAGAGATCATAATATAATTACATTTCACCCCTTCCTTTTCCTTCCTCCAATCCCCTCCACACCTCTCCTTACTCTCTTTCAAATTCATGACCTCTTTATTCATTAATTGTTCCTACATACATGTAAGTATATGCATATATGGTACTAATATAAACATCTCAGTCTGTATGTTGCTTGTATGTGGGATCTCAGGACTGTCAATTTGGTATTGTATAGCAAATTAATGTGCTCTTCTTTGGGGAAGATCATTTAGCCAGCTCTCAGTATTCCTTAATTGCATGTAGTTCTTTAGGTAGGATTGAAGCCTCATGGGCTCCCCACTCTCATCCACATCAGCATATTCGATGAATTGCTCATCTTTTCTTCCCAGGAGAACTAGTCTATGCTGTCCTGTGCATGGTAGTTACCTGTGGAATTCTTTTCTTGGTGATGCTCAAACTGAGGTAAGGAAATGTAACTCAGAAGGGAGGGAATGGCCAACACCAGGACCTGAGAATGAAGGTATTGAGTATAGCTTTGTGTAGGGATGGTCCATAGAAACATTATTTTAAATTCACATGTAAGGGAAATGACCACAGTGGATTGGTCTAATGTTGTATTTACAGGTACATATGGATTATGGGTTTCTTCCAATCAAAATGTTTACCAGTCTGTCACCTGGGTTTTCCAGTTCACATTATTTAGAAAACTGATCAACTCATGGAAGGCATCTATTATATAATTCAGTTACATTTACCTAAAGGCATATTCATCACTGTGGCTTCCTATATATTACAAGATTTGTTCAAGTTTTAATATACATTTATTGAAAGACATAGTCAATGAGGCCTCATGTCATAGTAAATAAAAAGAGTGTCCCATCAGATATTAATGTACTCTTTGCAAATCATTTTCCTTACCTGCATTCATTGCCAGAATATGTCAATTTCTACATTTCTAAATCCTGAATTTTAAAATATCCTAATGTATTTAGTATTGACAAATAGATAACTTGCTTATTTTTAATTTAAGAGAAAAACTGGGAGAGGCTGTGATCAGGATGTATTGTGTGAGAGAGTAAATAAAAAGAAAAAAGTATCATACTCATTTGCTCATTCATTATATATGAATGCATATGTATGTTTAATTTGAACATCAATTATCTTTATATGTGTTAAAGTTTATTTAATCAACCACACAACACATGTACACATATTGCTTTCCCAGAGGCAAGCTAAGAAACTTAATTATTGGACTTGACAACCAGGCAGGAATAATAAAAAGCTGAAATGAGGAGGTAAACAACTAGCTATATCAAGGGGCCATGTACATGATGAATGGATGCTTTGCCTGAGTACACTCAAATTCATTTATTTTTAAATGCAACAAAGGTTTATAAAATACATCTACTTCTTGTTTCAACCCTTCTAAGCATTTAACATTTTCTAAACATTTAATTTAACGTCTACCAAAACCAGTACCAAAACAAACTGCCCCAAGGCCTAAACATTGTCTAAGACTATATTCAATAAGAGGATATTCTATGGATTCCGATATATTTTTTGAAGTCCAAATAATTAAAACTCAATTTCTTTTTGTTTCCTTCAGATTTTTTATTTAAATTGTAAACAAGCTTGTTTTACATGTCAATCCCAGTTCCCTCTGCCTCCCCTCCTCCCCTGCCTCCCACTAACCCCCTATTCCCATCCCCTTTCTGCCCCCAAGGGAGGGTGAAGCCTTCCATTGGAGATCATCAATGTCTGTCATAGTATTTGGAGCAGGGCCTAGGCCCTCCCCCATGTGTCTAGGCTGAGAGAGTATCCCTGTATGTGGAATGGGCTCTCAAAGTCCATTCATATATTAGGGATGAATACTGATCTACTACCAGAAACCCCATATATTACCAAGGCCTCCTCACTGACACCCACGTTCAGGGGGTCTGTATCAGTCTAAGGGGCAAAAACTGTAGTCAGTTGACTTCTGTTTATATGGTTTTAAATATTTGGAAACACCACTCAATTATTGTGCTTGCCTAGATATTCCACGACAATCATACTGTTTGAAGGAACACAGTTTGCTAACCCAGTAAAACCTATGGGGAGATGGTTCTTAATTGTTACTTTTTAGCCCCACACCTCATACAAAGTTGTCATTGGCTAAACGGGCTCACAATCAAAACTACGCCACATATACACAATACATTGGAGTTCCCCATGAGTTAGCTATAACTTTACCTCCTTTTTGCTTGAACAAAATTGCATGTTTCATTTTCTAGAGGACAGAGAGTGTTGTATTACACATAAATTTATTCACATGTTTTACTGGATTATTTTTGGTTTTTCTGTGTTACTGAGGATTGAACTTAATTAGACTAGTGCATGTTAAGGTAAGAGCTCTACCATTGAGTCACAGACTTAGTAGTAGTGGATATATTTAAGGTAAATTATTCATATTACTAAGTAAAAATTATTTCCCACATAATTTAAAATTTACTGTGTTCTATAATCAGACCCAGAATTAAGACCATGGCAAAAATCAAAGGTAGTATGAACAGAGCATACACTATCAACCTCAAAGCCTCCTCCCTGGCCCCAGCATAGAATGAGAAAATACTCCTAAAAGAATTCAGTCATATGTCCCCGACAGCCTTTCTAACCACTGTTGATGTTTACCCCTAGTCACTATGAAGAGTTTCACATGTGTTTTATATATTCATACTAAATTAGAATGCCCTGTCTTAAAATAACTTTTCAAGAAACTTATAGCTTTAAATTTACATACTTGAAAATAGGCCACTAAATAAGATTATTTGGAAACCACAATGAAAAATACGATAGTCCTCAGAGAAGCTGTAGAATATTTCACTGGTAAAGTTTTACATTCAGGAACTTCATCATCCTCATCCCTCAACAAAGACTCCATACCCAAATATAAGCATGCACATTTGTAACGAGCTGGCGCTGGCATATTTAACTTCTTCTCTTATTTTCTATAGGATATCAAGTAAAAAAAGAGATCCTTCATCTATTGAAATAGCTGTAGGTGTCATCACTCAGTGAGCCACAAGTCACTATCAACTGCAAGTCTTTGTAGGAAATCAATGGAAAATTACAATTGCCAATAATGTAATTTAAGATGGATTTGAAGATATTGGGTCATTATATACAACAATGCTTGGTACAGTATTATAGCATAGTGATCATGGATCTGATTTTTTTCTTTAAAATATTTAGTAAATACTTGTAGTGATGTCATAACTAGTTGATAACATTTCCTTTGCAGGCAAAAGGTGCCATCTAAAAGGTAACATTTTTTGTTTGAACAGCATCGGTAAACATATCAGCTTTTCTCATAATACAATTCAACATAGTTACATCATGCATATTCTTGAACAATTTTATAGAAGTTGATAGAATGAAAATTTGAATGTGGATGTTTAATATATTTGGTATTTGCATATTCTAACTTTGGGCCCAGTCATTAAACAAATCATTAACATTAAACATATTTGGTTAGATGATGGGTTAAAAATAAAAACTGACATCCTATGAATTTTATAATTTAAATAGTATTGAACTTTACTTTTAGTTTGGTGTCTTAATATCCATAAATCCCTAAAATAACTACAATGGCTGAGAAAAGTCAGTGTTTCCTCCAATAGTGATGTATTTTGTGCATTTATTGTTTCTTTGTTGATTAATCATCATGAAATTCTCTAATAATAAAGCCATACTTAAATTGCCATCTCCATGTTGCTACTTTGATCTGGCTTGTCATTAGTGTAATTGTATTTGGAAGTATATTAACTAATTAATGAACATGTACTTTACAACTGTGTACAATCATGTCAGTATTCACTGTTCAGAATCTTAAGGTTGTATTGTCTATAGTTACACAAAAACATAAATATTTAATAACCCAAGGACACCATGCTAGTAAGCAAAGACATATTTGCAATTGACAGTAAAATATTTTCTTCCTGCTTGGTCTCAATTTTTAATAATTAAAGTACCTACATTAAATTAAGCTTGAACCTAACATTTTGTTCTGTGTATCTGGGGCAACGGAAAAGCAGTATTTTACTTTTGAAACCAAGCAAGACTTGTTAAATCACAAATAACCACAAGGGACTGCCAAACAGTCTACTGCAGTGGTTCTATGGGTCATGACCCCTTTGGGTCTTTAGAAAGCAAACAGGCAAATAAAAACAAATACCCCCCCCCAAAAAAAGGCAGGAAACACACATGTAGAGATTCATATACACTAAGAAATAAAGGCAATAAAAACACAAAATTGAAAACCATAATACACAATATACACTCACAAGACCAATGAGGTAAATAAATATTCAAACAAGCAATGTGAGACATAAAAGAATCCACATAGAGTGATACTCTCTCAGCCTAGGCACACAGGGGAGGGACTAGGCCCGCTCCAAATGATATGACAGTGATGAAGTTCTCTCAAAAACCATCTTAGTTACTTTTTCTATCACTGTGAAGAGACAACAGACCAAAATGTCCTATAAAAGACAAGGTTCCAGAGGGTAAAGTCCATGATCATCAATGCAGGGAACATCACAGCAGGCAGTAGCTGAGTGCTTACATCTTGATGCATATACACAAGACACAGAAATCTAACTGGAAATGTCATGGAGTTTTGAAACCTAAAAGTCAATGCCAAGTTTCTCCAACAAGGCCATACCTCCTAATCCTTCCTGAACAGTTCCACCAACTGGGTACCAAGCCTTCAAATATATGAGCCTGTGGGCTCATTCAAACCACCACATTCAAACTACTCCAGGAGCCATCTGATTATCCCAGCAGTATGATCTTGTCCTTTGGACTGCTCCTGCCTATTTACCCTTGGTCTGCTTTGCTCTCATGAATTTCCTCAGCATCTCCTGAGGAGTTAACAGTTACCAGCTACTACTCAGCAAGGTCTCTTGCAAAGGAGTTAAAGGCAGAGCAAATTAGGGACTTTGTTGTTACTACAAATCTCCAGCTCATTTGTCTTTCCTTGTTTTCTTTGTTTTTAATCTGTATCCCATTGTCACTTATATCAAAATCAATACAAATTAATGGTGAATAGAATATGCTTTTTTGTTTTCTAAACTTGTCACAACTGCAAGCCTAGCAAACTCAAAACTAAAATCTAAAGGACAGTGTCAGCATTTCTTCTCACATCCCTGGCTTGCTCTTTCAATCTCCACTCTGCTCAGAACTTGAGGTGAGAACTGTCTGGACTGAATCAGTCGTGGTACTTGAGTTTCCTTCCTAAGTTGTTCTCCAGATGCTTCTCTGAGGCATCGATGTCTGTTCAAATTGCAAAGTCTCCTCTGTAGATAAGCCTATTGTGATAAATACATATTTAATCAGATGTTCATAATGCTCTCAGTTTTCTGTAACTTTCTATAAAAACTACCACAGGCCTTTAATCACAGAGACTTGAAGTTTTATTTAATAAAGATTGGCAGGCTTAAATATAAACATACAATTTCATTATGTTATGGAATTTTTCTGTCTAATTTATATAATTCTGTTATCTATGAAGTGTAATGTATGATTTTGTGTTGAGTGTAATGGATAGCTGGTATTTTCAGTTATAACAGAGATATAATCAGATAAAATATTTTCTAAATCTTGTGTATCTAACAGCAACTATAGAAACTATTTGAAGTAAAATATCCATTCTTAAACCTCAAGTTTGCTTTGGATACATGTTCTCAGTGCAAGTTAAACATAGTCTTTGATTCACAAGTAAATATTTTAAAATAAAGTTGGCACATATTATGGATAGACATTCTTAAGGGATTAAGAAAGACATAACATAGCCTTTATTATGTTCCATAAAATGATAGTGATAGAAACTCTGGGTGTCTTTAGGACACTATCATGCACATGGAATCAACATTAAAATATTTTAAGGTGTTACTAGGCACTGATGGCACACACACTTAATCTCAGCACTTGCTTGGCAGAGGCAGGTGGATTTCTGAGTTCAAGGCCAGCCTAGTCTACAGAGTGAGTTCCAGGACAGTCAGGGCTACATAGGGAAACCCTGTCTCAAAAAATATTTTTTAAACATATGTTGAGTTTTCTGGAAAGACACGTATTTCTACATATATAAGTAGAATGTACATATACAGTCTAGATAAATTGTACAATTTTTTGTAGGTTTTATTTTCAGTGCTGAGAATTGAGTTCAAGCTGTTTCATATGTTATCAGGCATTCTACTACTGAGCTACACATTCAACCCTATTTATAGAACTAAAAGAAAAAACACTACTGGCTAAATACAGGAAGAAATTTCTCAAAGACTCACAGCATTAGATACAAAGAATTATTAATTGAACAAAGATTTATCATATTTCATAATATTCTAATACCCAAGAGGCACCAACATTTTCCCTAGCTGTAATTATGAAAGCTTTGTACCTGCTAAACAAAGAAAAATACTCATTTATAATCTTCCAAATGTGGGATTTTTTTGAGTTCCTTAAATTAAGTTCTGTATATTAGGATCTTTTCATATGTTTTGTTCACATTCTGAGGGTTGCCTTTGCAATCATCTGAGTGTTTCCTTCTTAACTTTGTAATTTGACGTAGTCATATTTTCCTAGTTTTGTTTTGTTTTTCTATGCTTTGGGGTTAGATCAACTCTTTTAATCAGTATGTACCCAATGAAGTATTCATTCTACAGGAGGGCCCTACCTAAACCAAGTGAGGTTGTGAAATATAGTCTATAGACACACACTGGTCACTTTTGGCTCTATTCCTTGGTTCTGAAACTTCAGTCCTTATAAAATCACAAGGGCAGATTGTTAAAAAGATTCCTGAGTTCTACTTCCAAAATTCCTGATTTGGTTTGTCTGGAACTGGGTGAGAATTTGCATTTCCAACAAATCCCAGAATATGCTAACACTCCTTCTCTGGAGGCCACTCCAAGTGGCTTTCATTTTTTTCTGTTCATTTTAATATCTGACTAACTTTAAGTTTTTATATCCTCACCCTTTATCAGAGATTATGACTAAATATATACAACATGGTCCAGAGTATTGGCATATCTTTGATTTCCTGATCTTTGCTTGATGATGAGTGAAGCAGCTACTGTGCATTCCTGTGGGAAGTAAAATTGTCAGTTATTTCCTGTGTACACTGAAGTACTGTGCAGTACTGAGTGAAAGCCAAATTCAACTTCCTTCTTCAGTTTTGCCTTCCTGTCTGTCAGAGTCGTAGTGCCATGTTGACTTGACACACAATTTACACATACCTTGTTGCTGAGAAACAAGAAATAGGGAAGTCATATGCTGGGAAGTTTCCATACCTAGATGCCAACATTAACTCTCTTTTTTTCCTTTGGACCCAAACCCGTGCTAGGATAACAATGAGTGGGTGCCAATGACTGGAGGGGAAGGAATTAGTTGTTGAGAAGGGGTGGGTCAGGGTGTCAAAGTTGAACTTCATACCTATTTTTCTTATGCCCCGCTCTCTCCAAGGGTCAAAACACCTATGTTATTTGTGACTTTTCTTGCATCACACCGTCTGAAAAACCGTCTGAAAGGTTCAGGCCTTGATGCTGATCAGCTCTACCTCCTTAAGAGATAGACCCCGCCCCCTGACAACAGTCGGGCATGGAACAGGAAATCATGCTAAGTCGTCTCCTAGTCACCTGCCATGCATTACAGCCTGCTGAGGAATCTGAGCATGCGTGGAACCTCAGTGCGCATGTGCAGTCTTCCCTTTAAAAGCTCCAACTTTCCGGCTTCACTCTCTCTCTGCTTCCTCTCTCTGCTTCCTCTCTACTCTCCTTCTCTGTTTCTTCTTGGCTCTCTCTCACCTATGCACTCTCTCTGCATCTATGGCGACCGGCCATGGCGGTAAGCCATTACCCCTGTTCCTCTTCTCTCTTAGTCTCCCTACTCTGCAGGCTATATAATAAACTAGTCAATATGTCTCAGCTTTCTCTTTTCCTTTTTTAAAATAAAAACATAACACCATCCACAGTTTTTGTGTTATAACTTTCAATACAGAATGACAACTTGAGTCTGCAAAAGCT